TACATGATGGACAAGGGTGAGTGACAAGAGTACAGATACAGGTAGTAAGTCATGCACCCTTACATACTGAAAGGCATGATAATAACATGTCACAAGCTAAACCCATAATATGGTTTAGCTACCCCCACAGCAATGCAACCAATCCCTTCAAATAGCTAATAATATGTTGCTAGGGTGGCACAGTGACTGTTTCTATGTGAGGGCCCATGCCCTCCCCTTGGGGGGATAGGTAGATGGCAACCACAGATGGCCCTACTTACCCTATAATTGGGCTGGTAGATACACCTGGGATCGCCCTTACCTGCCGGACACATTCTGTTCCATTTAGACAGTATTCCTACTAAGTGGGAGAGGGTAAAAGCCAGGCACTTCCAGAAGTGTGCATCCTGGTGGTTTTATCCTTTGGCCATTTTTGCCCCCAAGTGGCAGCAATAGATACAGAGCTGCAAGTTGGAGCCTTCACTAAACATATGGCCTTCAAGGATACCTGTGCCATGCCATTACTCTTCACTGGGCAACCATGTAAAATTGCATGGCCCTGGACATCTTAACTGCTGCCCAGGTGAAGCAGCTAAGGTGTGAAGTTGCACATTAATTAAAACCTAATGTTGTGTATATATCCCTGATTACTCTCACATTATAACCGGGGCTATGTGAACCCTAGAAACCCACATTTCAGCTACAGCATCTCTATCTTATGACCCTATAACCATGTGGTTTAATCAACTTCAAGTGCTTGGAAAAGCTTTCTGGAAAGTATGATTGCCACTGTGCTTGTCATCGTCTTTTGTTGCAGTGGTTTCTATTGCTGCTGCGCCGTCTGGCAGCAATGCTCCTGCACATACCTCGTCCCAGGGAAACTGCAGAGAATGGTATGATAAGAATGGGGGGGCCACTCAAGGGTATGCTGGGCTGGAGTGTATGGCAGGTGCACCTGACAGCAATTAACTCCAGCACACCCTAAGGTCTAAGGCTGTGTGTTCAGAGTTCCAAGCTAAGGAATCCCGGAGTGGCCAACCCAGAAATGGATTCCTTATCTATAAAGGCCATGTGAACTCCTGGTCCATTCCTTGGAAAGCAGGCTATACAGCGAATCAAGGCCATTTCTATTAGGTTAAATGGAGGATGCCGGGTGGAGATTGCTAAATGAAAATGCTATCTATAACCTGCATGCTTTTCACAAATCGTAGCAGTTGTTTTCCTGTCCAGCCGGCCGTTCTTGGACTGCCCTGCATGTAGGTCTTCAATAAACCCTATGTCTCCTTCACGATTCCAGGTCTCTTCTTTGGCTTTTCAGACGTGGTGCCATCCTTAATGAAGTCAGCAGGGGCCTGGCACAAGTATATACCTTTTTATTAGTCTCCCTTCAAGTGATATTACACCACTTCACATATAAGAACTGTATCACAGTATGCTTTCATCTCCCCTCTCCCAATCTTCATGCTATTGTTGTCACACATTTTATTTATAAATATGTTATAAACTCCAAAATACACCATTTTTGTCTGTTGAAACAGTCGATTATTATTAGTCAGGGTTCTCCGAAGGAACAGAACCAAAAGGATGCATATGTCTGTGTGCATGTGTGTGTGGTATGTGGGTGCATGTGTGCACACATGCTTTCTGGGTTTTCTTTTGAGATGGGGTCTTGCTCTGTTGCCCAGACTGGGGTCCAGTGGTGTAATCATAGCTCACTGCAGCCTCAATCTTCTGGCCTTAAGCCATACTCCTGCTGTGGCCTCCCAAGTAGATGGGACTACAGGCACACACCAGCATGCTCAGCTAATTATTTTATTTTTTATAGAGGCAGGGTCTCACTATGTTGCACAGACTGGTCTCGAACTCCAGGCCTCAAGCAGTCCTCTTAACTCAGCCTCCCAAAGTTCTAGGGTTACGGATGTGAGCTACCACATCCAGCCAGTGTATGAGATTTAATATAAGGAACTGGTTAGTGTGATTGTTGCTACTGAAGTCCAAATCTGCTGTGTGAGTTGGCAGGCTCAAGACCCAGACAGAGTTGGTGTTCTAGTTTGAAGGTCATTAGACAGGAAGAGCCAATGCTGCAGGTGAAGTCCAAGGCAGTACGCTATAGAAATCCATCTTGCTCAGGGGAAAGGTCAGCCTTTTTTTTAACTATTCAGGCCCTCAATTGATTAGATGAGGCCCACCCACATTATGAAGGGCATTCTACACAGGCCTACTAATTTAAATGTTAATCTCATCCAAAATCACCCTCACAAAAACACCCAAAATAATTTTTGGCCAATATCTGGGCACTCTGTGGCCCAGTGTAGTTGACATATAAACTTACCATCACAATTCCTTTTTAAAGGAATAAATAATGACACTAATATATATTTATTCATATTACCATTTCTGGTGCTCTTTTATTCCTTTGTACAGAGAGATTTCCATCTGGCATTTTCCTTCTGCCTGAAAGACTCCGTCTATCTGCTGTAAACTCTTTCTTTTAGGCTTTAATTTACCTTCAAACTTCTTTATTTCACCTTTGTTTTTGAAGGGTATTTTTTTGCCAGTTCTAGAACTCTAGGTTAACAGTTTATTCATTCAGAACTTTAGAGAGTTTGCTCACTTACAGTGTTTCCATTGAGCAGTGTGATGTCATCTTTGTCATCCATTACTTTCCACTTCAAGTAACGTGTCCTTTCTCCTGGTTGCATTTAAGATTTTCTTTTGATTACTGGCAAGTTATGATGAGCCTATGAAGATTTTTCTTCATATTTCTCGTACTTAGGGTTTGTGGAGCATCTTGGATCTGCAGACTTAGTTTCGATTACATTCAGAAAATCTTTGGCCATTATTTCTTCAAGTATTTTTCCTATTCCATCTCTATCCCCACTCCTCTCCTTCAGGGACTCCAATCACCATAGATAAGGCTGCATAAATTTGTCCCACAGGTCACTGATGTTGTGTTTTTTAAAACTCTTTTATTCTGTGTATATTTCATTTTGGGTAATTTCCATTGCTCTGTCTTCAAATTCACCATTTTTTTCTTTTGTAATATTTAATCAACTATTAATCCCATTCTGTACATTCTTCACCTTAATCACCAGTCTTCATCTTCAAAACTCTGATCTGGTCTCTATATACCTCTTTGCAGAATATACTTATAATAAACTTTTTAATGTCCTTCCGTGCTTATTCTAACATCTGTGTCAATTCTAGGTCAGTTTCAGTTGATTATTTTCCTCCATTATGCATCACTGTTTGCCTGTCTTTTTCAATGTGTGACAATATTTGACTGGATGCCAGACATTGTGAATTTACATTGTTAGGTGCTCTTTTTTTGTTTATTCCTACCAACTTTCTAGGGTTTTATTCTGAAATGCAGTTAAGTTATTTGGAAAGAGTTTGACCCTCTTGGGTCTTGCTTTCATGATCTGTAAGGTGGGTGTGGAGCAGTACCCAGAGAGCAGTACTCTCTACTGATAAGCCAAGATTTTCCTGAGTACGCTACACAGTGCCCATGAACCATGAGTTTTCTGGTCTGGCTGATATGAACCAGCATTGTTCCTGGCCCTGTGTGAGCACCAGGAACCATTCCCTCTAATCGTTTTAGAAGCTTCTATCTCCAGCCATGGGTAGATTTTCATAGGCATGTGCTGATCAGAACTCAGCGGAACACCTAGGAAGTTCCTCCATAGATGGCAAGGGTTCTCTCTCTGTCCAGCTCTCCTCTCCAGGACACCACCCAGTACTTTGTGCACTCTCACTACTTTGTTCTCTGTGGACTCCCGGCTCCATTCCTCAACTCAGCAAGTCTCCCTTGCTCTACCTCAGTTACCCCAGCCTTAGATGGCCTAGAAACTTCCTCAGGCAGAGGGTAGGGCAATCATAGGTTGACCTTGTCTGTTTCACATTTCTCAAAAATCACCGCCCTTCACCGCCTGATGTCTGGTGCTTTGAAAACTGTTGTTTGACATATTGTGCCTGTTTTGTTTTTGTGTTTTTATTTTAGTGGCTGCAGATAAGAAAATAATTCCTATTTACTCCATTTTGGCTAGAAGTAAACATCTACAACATGGTTCTTTCTTTTTTATTGAAGACACAGTCTCGCTCTGTTACCCAGGCTGGAGTGCAGTGGCATGATCTCCACTCACTGCAACCTCTGCCTCCCAGGTTTAAGTAATTCTGCCTAAGCCTCCTGAGTAGCTGGGATTACAGGTATACACCACCATACCCAGCTAATTTTTCTATTTTAGCAGAGAAAGGGTGTCACCATGTTAGCCAGGCTGATCTCAAACTCCTGACCTCAAGTGATCCGCCTGCCTTGGCCTCCCAAAGTACTGAGATTACAGGCATGAGCCATCGTGCCCAGCCTACAACATGATTCTCAATCAAGGATGTGCACATGAGAATTGCCAGCACAGCTTCTACAGCATGCATATGCCTTGGTGCCTCCCTGGAGATCCAATGAGTTTATTTTCAGTCTGTCCCACATTCATCTTCTCAACTTCAACCTCTACCTTGCCCCAAAATACACCTTGTTCTTTAGCCTCATTGGATACCTGCCCCTCCATTTTCTCCACACCTTAACTCACGCTGCTGCCTCTGCTTCAAACAGTCATCCCCATTTTCCACCTGCCAAACTCCTACTAATCCCTCAAAACTGTCACCTCTGCTGTGAAAAGTTTCCCATCTCACCCCCAACAGAGCCCTTCCCTGAACTTCTATAACATTTTATTTCTACTGCCAGCAAACACTGGCTCCTACTGTATTATAGGGAGTGCTGTGTGTCTGTCTCTCCAATGTGCTTATGAACGCATAAAGAAGTGAACAGATTTTTTAAACACTAGCACCCCGTAACAGTGTGTTAAATAAATGTTTCTTGAATGAAGTATATATCCATTTATTAACCATCTTTCCTGACACTCGTACTAGCTGCATGCTCTGTTTCCTCCTACCTCTTCGGACTTCTCTGTTTATTCTCTTATTTGACAGATTTCTAAGGAGTCCCAAGTCCTAGAAATTCTGCTCACCTTGAAATCGCTTTAGCATTTCCTTCATCAATGGTATCTGACACACTGTTTTCAACTTTGGAGCTTCAAGGGAATAGTTCACATCCTGGATCTCACTCCTAAGAAAGTAGAGAAGACTGATCTTAGCAGACAACTAGGGTAACCAAGACCCCCACTTGCAGTCAAAGGTTCTCAGCCCAAAGTTCAGATGGCTTTTTTTCCCATTCCTCCTTGCAGAAACGATCAGGAGAATTCTTCCTCAGATCCCCTTCAGGGTGTGCTCAGATTGACCTGTAGAGCCTAGGCCTTGTTTCCCCTCTGCTCAGCCTGTACCTTTACCATGCCACCCAGGGCCCCATAAGAGAACAGGAGTGCATACCTGGTCAACACATCTTTCGGATTCTGTGAAAAGAAGGAAGAAATAAGCAAATTATGAACCTTCTCCTAGAGACCTGGGACACAACTACGTGAGCAGGTATTTTCTGACAGTTGCTTTTGCTCACGTCACATATGATTTTCTGCTGCCAAAGCCAATGGATTGACAGAATCTGGTCCTTTCTTTCATTGGCTCCTCTGCACTATTTGACAATGCTGACTGGTCCCTTTCCTAAGCCCCTACTCTTTCTCCTTGGGCATCATGACATGAACTGGCTCCTGGCTTCCCGCCAGCCTCCCCAAGTAGTTTCCATCACAGAGCCTGCTCCTATGCCTGCCTTTTGGTGGAGTCCTCAGAAGCTCCAGCTTTGAGCTTCCACTCTTCTCCTTCCCTTTGTCTTACAAGATTACTTTTAAATTATAATCATAAGGGATATTTTATTTTGCCCAAGTCCAAAGAGGTTTTTCTACAGGTAAATTTTACTAAACTTTAGGGAACTGAAAAATCCCTAAGTTGTGACAGAAAAGAGAAAAACAGAAAATTTTCCCAACTGATTTTTCAGAGACTATTATAATCTTGGTCCTTAAGCCGTGAAACAAAATATTAGAAAAAAAATATAGACCCGTTTTACTTAAACACATAGATGCAAAAATTCTAAGTAACAAAATCAGGTAACCAATGCCAACATGTATTTAAAAAATACAGCTCCTCCAAAAACCTGTAACCCAGCCTAATCATGAGAAAATCATTAGACAAATTCCAATAGGGGGGAAGCCTACAAAATACCTGAGCAGCACTCCTCAAAACTGTCAAGATCATCAAAAACCAGAAAAGTCTGAGAAAATGGCACAGCCAAGAGGCAACTAAGGAGAGACAATGACAACCAAATATAATCTGGTATCCTAGGTGTGGGTCTAGAGAATAAAATGAACACTAGATAAAAACTGAGGAAATGGAAATAAACGACAAACTCTAGTTAATAATACTATACCACTGGTTCATTAATTGTAACAAATGAACCATATTAACACTAGATGTTGATAACATGGGAAACTGGGTAAAGGGGTATGTGACAACTCTGTCCCATCTTCTCAACTTTTTTGTAAATCTAAATTGTTCATTTAAAAAATGGTTAATTACCACATGAAAAGTGCTCAATCTCATTAGTTATCAGGAAAATAGCTTCATCTGGACAGGCGTAGTGGCTCATGCCTGTAATCCCAGCACTTTGGGAGGCTAAGGTGGGTGGATCACTTAAGGTCAGGAGTGTGAGACCAGCCTGGCCAACACAGTGAAACACCATCTCTACTAAAAATACAAAAATTAGCCAGGCATGGTGGCAGGTGTCTATAATCCCAGCTACTTGGGAGGCTGAGGCATAAGAACTGCTTGAGCCTGGGGGGCAGAAGTTGCATTAAGCCAAGACGGTGCCACTGCACTCCAGCCTAGCAACAGAGTAAGACCCTGTGTTAAAAAAAAAAAAAAAAAAAAAGAAAAGAAAATATCTTTATCAAGGAAAGGTGTATATATATATATCCATATACGTTTAGGAAGAAGGAAGGGGTGCTGACTAAGGGCAGAAGATGACATTCTGCACCCTTCAAGATGGCTAAATTAAACAACTGACAAATCTAAGTATTGGTGAGGATGCAGAGCAACTGGAACTCTAACTTTACACATTGGTAACAATACTGTAAACTAGAACCATCACTTTGCACCAGTTTGAAAATGGTTTGGAATCATCTACTAAAGCTGAACACACATGTATGTTCTATGACCCGGAATTGTTCTCACAGGTATACAACTAATAGAAATGTATATAAATGTGCAGCCAAAAAGATATGTTCACAAATATCCCTGGTTTTTTTTTAAATAACAATAAAAACAGAAATCATCCAAATTTCCCTCTAAAGAAAAATGAATAATATGCTTTGGTATATTAATATAATGGAATATGACAGGCACTACTGACGTTTTGGTCTGAATAAGTCTTTGCTGGGAGCTGAAGGCAGGCATGTCTTGTACATAACAGAATGTTTGGTAGCATCCTACACACAAGAGATGCTAATAGTAACCACCTTCGAGGTGTGACAACCAAAAATGTCTCCACAAAATGTCAGATTTTGCACTCAGGGAGCCAAATCACCCTGATTGAAAACACTGGTGTATAGCAATGAAAAAAATACCTACTGCATGGATTCATCTCACAAACGTAATGTGAGCAAAACAAGCCAATACAAAAGAGTGCATCCTGTAAGATACTCACTCAAAAATATGCACAACGAGTGCCAGGCGCAGTGGCTCATGCCTGTAATCCCAGCACTTTGCAAGGCCGAGGCAAATGTATCACTTGAGGTCAGGAGTTCGAGAACAGCCTGGCCAATATGGCAAAATCCCGTCTCTACTAAAAATACAAAAATTAGCCAGGCGTGGTGGCACATGCCTGTTACTTGGGAGTAACATCCCAGCTACTTGGGAGGCTGAGGCAGAAGAATTGCTTGAACCCAGGAGGCAGAGGTTACAGTGAGCTGAGATCACATCACTGCACTCCAGCCTCGGCAATACAGCAAGATTCCATATAAAAAAAAAAAAAAATGCAAAACGAAACAAGAGTATGAGAGGTCCAGAAGGAGGCTACCCTTTGAGGGGACAGGAAGGGGGTACTGACTGGGGACATGAGGAAGCTTCTAGGATGCTATGTGTGTTCTACTTTTTGACTTCAGTAGTAGTTACATGAGTGGTCCCTTTGTGATATGTCAAGCTTATGATTTATACATTTTTCTCCATGGGTGTCATACTTTTTTTTTAAATAGAGACAAGGTCTTGCTAAGTTGCCCAGGCTAGTGCAAATTCCTGAGCTCAAGAGATCCTCCCACCTCAGCTTCCCAAAGTGCTGAGATTACAGGCATGAGCCACTGTACCCGGCCTTAAAATGTGTTTTAATATTTATTTTATTATGACAATAAATGTAACAACTTGCCAAAATGTGTGGAATACAGAGCAATACTTAAAGGTAAAAGTATAACAAATAAATTTACCAGCAAACAAAAGGGTAAATATAAATAAGCCAAGCATTCCAACTCAAGAAGTTGAAAACGAGAGAAGAAACCCAAAGACCAATTTAAACAAAATAGCTGGGGATAGTGCCTCACACCTGTAATCCCCCAACCCTTTGGGAGGTCAAGGTGGGAAAATTACTTGGACCCAGAAGCTCGAGTGTGCAGTGAGCTATGAACACACCACTGTACTCCAGCCCAGGTGACAAAGCAAGAGCCTGTCTCAAAACCTACATAAATAAAATAAAAATAAAGATAAACAAAAAAGAGCAGATATTATTGGTTTCACTGCAGCATTATTTGTAGTGGTGACGGTGTTGGAGGCAACCGGGGTTATCTATTACTGGAAAAAGGAAGAGGTAAAACATGAAGGATGCACACGTGAGTTAGAAGTGGGTCATGGGGTAAAAGTGAAGGAATAAATTTTAAAAATGGATGGATAGATAAGTACAGTAAATTCTTTCAGGCTCTGAGATTCTATGTTTGTTTCATTTTTTATTTGTTTACCTTGTTTTTTGGGGACAGTCTTACTCTGCAGTGCAGTAGCACGATCTCGGCTCACTGCACAATCTGTCTCCTGGGTTCAAATGATTCTCCTGCCTTACCCTCTCAAGTAGCTGGGACTACAGGTGCCTACCACCATGCATGGCTAATTTTTGTATTTTTAGTAGAGATGGAGTTTCACCATGTGGGCCAGGGTGGTCTCAAACTCCTGACCTCAGGTGATCTACCCGCCTCAGCCTACCAAAGAGCTGCGATTACAGGCATGAGCTACTGTACCCAGCCCCACTTTCATCTTTTTTAATCATTTCCCTAACTTTGCATTTCTGTTTGCTGATATAATTTTTTTGTAAGCATTCTGCCGGTTCACATGTATCTCAGAGGTTTCAAATTCTAATTAGATGTTAAGCCTGTATTTTAAATGCGTTATTTCAGATTCTTTCATGACACACATTTGGATATGTACTTGGAACTTCACTGCTTAATCATGTTGTAAAACCTTTACACAATTCTTGGAAATCATTACATTTAATATTAAACGTTGTATCTATCACATAAAACCTAGCTAGCAATTTCTTATTGATAATAACTAGTGGGTGGGTCCAGGTTTCTCTCTTCCTTTAGAACAGAATGTTGTCTCTTGCTTACGAAAAAAAAATAGTAATGGTACACAGAAAATGTTCTTGAGAATATCTTTCAGAGATCATTTCACCTTCAGTCACATGATACGGAGGAAAGAGAAGTTCTGAGACACCTGAGGCCCAACATGAATTATTTCAGCAAAAAAAAAAAAAACAACAAGGACAGTCACAAATGTAGGACCCTACCCAGAAACTAAAAGAAGCTACAAAGATACTTCACCTAAAGAGAATATAAAGGTAAAGATTTAAGTCAAAGGAAGGCCTTTTGATAACAAACTGGCCTAAAGACCCAACCTTAAATGCTGAGTTACAATTGTAATCTTTTGAATGTTGCTAGATATTGGAAATTATTTAAATGAAAGCATCACTCAAAATATGGGGATAAGAACAAAGTTTAATTAAGCTGTGATTGTAATAAAAGTAAGCGAGAAAGATAAGTTTCTCTTATTTGTTGATACAATTATGTACTTGGGAGTTTTATGCTTGCTTTGTTTTATTGTTTAATAAAGAATTATAAATGTACAAATAAGAAGAATGAAAAAGTCTCAGATGTGCTAAGTCTCCGATCCTAGATGGAACTATGAGACCACGTGAATCAACTTATCTCCTATGACCTGAGCTCAGCATACCTAAATTTCACATTCATTTCCTTTGAATGGTGAATCTTTGACTTTTTAGTTGTGTGACAGCAGTAACAGAACTAGCAACAGAGATAAGACACGTCTATGAAACCCACTCACCCGGAAGGACATTCAGCTCTTAAGACAAGAGGGAGTTCAGTTATGAAGGAAGACATGACCATCCCCACCCATAACTGTCTCACCTGCAACAGCTCCAGGGTGGAGGCCTGCCTCTTCTCCCCAACCTCTAAGATGAGTTTCTTCAATGAAGCAATCATTTGATTGAGTTTTAACCTGTTCTCATTCAGCTTCGTCTTTGTCTCTTCTTCTTCTTTGCTCAGTCTCTGAAGAAACAGGTCCTCTTCTTCAACCAGGAAGTTGTGCAGCTTTGAAAACTCCGTGCTGATTCTCATTCGCTGACTCTTTATCTTATCCTACGGCCACATAAGATTTGCTCACTCCTTTTTCTGCCTGACCCCAGCTACTAAATTCCTTACACAATTCCCCAGTAATCCACAGTCCTTTCCATCTTAATCAATCCCTCTAAAAAAGCTCCTGCCCATCCCCCTAAATTTCCATTACTCCTTTATTTATACCTACTTGATAGCTCTATACTAGTCATTATAGTATTCATTCATTCTTCCTAACATTTCAGTCTCCACTACTGACAAGTTTTAAACTAAAACAAACTTTCAAATCTACCACTTAGTTTAGCCCTCAGAACACTGGTTTAGTTTTGTTAAATCTTTAGGACTGTGTGTGTGTGTGTGTGCGTATGTGTGTGCGCATGAGCACCCATGTATACTTCCCAACTACAATTGGCCTCCCTGAAAGCAAAGTCCATTCATCTGTTTCCTTCCACAATACCATGGGCCCAAACCGACTCCAACGTAGGGAGTATATTTAGGAAAAAGTAAGAAGGATGGGGCGCTCCCTTAAAGTAGAGACATGGAGATGAAATATGTGGAACTCATATCACCCAAAGCCACTGGCAGCAGGGACAGGTACTTCCTCTCCTATCCCCGTATCTACAAGGCGGCTGACAACTGATGACACCCAGAAAGCTCTTCTTTCAATCACATGCTATGGAGGAAACAGAGGTTCTGAGGCATCCTGCAAAACACCATGACCAAAAGGACCTCAAAGTAAGAAATGTCCCAGACCAAAAGGACATCAGGAGCAAGAAATGTTCAACCACTTCTGCTATTACCTTCCACTGTGTAGCGTTCTTTGCTTCTGCGTCCTGTAATTGCAAGACTCTCTTCATCTTGGCCCCAAGATCACGCTGAGACTGAAGAAGTTTCTCCTGCCAGCAGAAACACGCACAGGTAAGAAAACATGTCTCCAACCACCATCATCTTCTTCTTTTTTTTTTTTTTTTTTGAGACAAAGTCTCATTTGTCACCCAGGCTGGACTGCAGTGGCCTGATCATGGCTCACTGCAGCCTCAGTCTCCCAAGCTCAAGTGATCCTCCCACCTCAGCCTCCCAAGTAGCTGGGACTACAGGCACACTCCACCAGGCCCAGATAATTTTTTTATGTTTCGTAGTGACAAAGTCTCCCTATGTTGCCCAGGCTGGTCTTGAACTCCTGGGCTCGACAGATCCGCCCATCTCAGCCTCCCAAAGTGCTGGGATTACAGGAATGAGCCACCGTGCCTGGCAACTTCATTTTTTAAGAGCTAAAAGTCACTTAATCAAAACAGAATGAGACTGAGAAAATACTGAAGATAGTCACAGGCCTCTGATAACTATTCTGGCCTGAAAAAATCACAACACTGTATTGAGTTTTCCTAGTAAGCTGGCGAAAACTAAAAACCATTAAAAGAATAACAAATATCTACTCCTGGTAGGGAGAAGGCCTCAGGCACCACAGGAGATGAAAAAGGTGTATTTTTTTTGAGGGACAACTGGCAGGATTTAACAAAATTTAAAATGTGTATAATGCTACTTCTAATAACCTATGCAAACAAAACATTAGTAAAAATTACCAATATGTAAAGAAATGGTCACTACAGCATTATTTATTATCCACTAATTAGGAATTATTAAATAAATTATGGTATATTGATACCTTGCATCAATTTAAGGTAGCTGTCTATATACTGACATGAAATACACAATAAGTTGAAAGCAAGCTGTAAGACAATATGTATTGTATAATTCTGTATTGAAAAGACTAAACTTGTGTATGCACATATGTGTTCATCTGTGTGTGTGTATTTGTATGTGAAGACAAGGAAAATCTGGAAAGATTTATACCGAAGTATTAATGCTGGCAATTTCCAAGGAATAAGAATGACTTACAAGTTGGGAGGTGGGGTACTAGAAATCTTATACATTTTTGCTTTAATTTCTACAAGTGTCATGTACCATTTTTATAATTTAAAAACCCGAGTAAGTTATTAAAAAGTAAAGCAAGTCAATCAACATTGACAAATTGGGCTGAGGAGCAGCACCCAATAGTAGAATGTCAGCTGCAAGTGCAGAGATGGAGGCAGAGACAGGTTAGAGAAACATGCAAGAGAAAAACCCATAGGAACTGATGACCAAATGGCTGCAGGAGGAGAGTCCACATTTAGCCCCTGGGTTCTGGTTTAAGTAACCAGATGGACTGTAGGTTGTTTATCAAATTTAAAAGCATAGGAAGATAAGCAGTGTGTAAATGGAGAAAGGAAAATAAATTTCACCTAAATAAATTGAGTCTGAGATGCCTGTGGGACATGCAAGTGGATATGTTAGCAGTCGAGTCAGGAAGGAGAGCTATGCTGCAGAAGCAGATTTCGGGATTAAAGAACAGGCGGCAGTCAGAGCCTTGGGTGAGTGTACAATCACCCAATAAGATTCTACAGAATAAGAGGATGAAGGGTAGAACTGGCAACAGCTACATTTAAGCAGTATGTAGAGGATAAAAATCCTGCAAAGAAGCTAAGGTGAGCAGCTGGTGAAAAACCAAGAGAGAATAAAGGAAGAGACCATTTCAATTACAAAACTAGTGAATAGTGTCAAATGCTGGACAGTGGCCTGGGGCAACTTTCTATAAGTCTGAATATATGTCAAAAAAGTTTAAAAAAAAAAAAAAAGGAAATGAGAGGAAAAAAATAATAATCTGTACAACTTTTTAAATTCTTCCCTAGAAAAATAATGATGACTAATAGGTGTAACTTTTCATCCAATCATTTACAAGTGACAATAGTTAAAATCAAGTTAAATAACTGTCAAGGCTGATAACACCAAAGTTGGCAAGGATATGGAGCAACTGGAACTCTTACACAACATCGGTGGGTAAGTGAAATGTTACCACCATTTTGGAAGAAGGTCCAGCGTAAAACTAAACATACATTAATCCTAGGGTACAGCAATTCTACTCCTAGACCCAGGGAAAATGAAAACATATACCCATAAATAAACATGTACAAGAATATTCACAGCAGCTTTATTCGCAATAGCTAGAAGCTGCAAACAGCCCAGGTATTCACTGATAGGAAAGTGGATTAAAAAATGGCAAAAACCGCAATTACATTTGCACCCACCTATACAAAATATGAATATCAAAATCAATATCTGAGCAAAAGGATCCTACATAAGAATACAGACAATGGAATCACATTTATATGAAGTTCTAGAAAAGGTAAAACTTAATTTGTGTTTGAAAAAACATCAGAATGGTGGTTGTCCTGGTAGAGGAAGGGTGCAGAGAACAACTGGGAAAGGGCATGGAGTTCTCTGGATGGTAATATCCTTATCTTGAGAAGGGCATTTGTCAAAGTTCAGCAAATGTACAACTAGGATTTGTGTTTTTCATTGTATTAAATTTTACCTCAAAAAATACCATAGGCCAGGCTCAGTGGCTCACATCTATAACCCCAGCACTTTGGGTGGCCAAGGCAGGTGGATCACCTGAGGCCAAGAGTTCAAGACTAGCCTGACTAACCTGGTGAAACCCTGTCTCTACTAAAATCCAAAAAAATAGCCAGGTGTGGTGGCACAGGCCTGTAATCCAGCTACTTGGGAGAATGAGGCAGAAGAATCGCTTCAACACAGAGGCGAAGGTTGCGGTGAGCCAGCATTGCACCACTGCACTCCCGCCTGGGTGAAAGAGAGAAACTCTACTTATTAAAAAAAAAAAAAAAAAAAAGTACCATAAACAAATGTTAAACCTGGTTAATGATACACATGCTAAAGTATTCTGTTTGCAATTGAATTTTAAAAGCTTCAAAAGGAAGTAAGAATTGATGCATTAAGAGAGACACAGACGACAGCTATGTGATAAGTCAAATGTGAATGGTAGAATCTAGATGTGGGCATACTGGTGTCATTACAAAATTCTTCCAACTTTGATGTATGCTTGAAATTTTCATGGCAAAATGAAATAGGAAAAAATAAAATTAAGTTATAAAAAGGATTTATACAGTTCTGTTAAATGACACAGTATCATCTGTGCTATTTTCTTTCTACCATGTTTCCCAACATTACATAATCTAGTTATCATCTTTAGTGGTTAACTTTAATAGGCATATAACCCTGCTACTCAGTAAGCTCTCTCATGTAATTTCACTTCTTTATTCAATTATAACTGCCACTTTATAGTCACTGTCAAATACGATGTATATAAGGTTTGTAATGAGATATATATTCGCTCCTTCAAACATGACCAAGCTTTTTGGAACATTCTCACTTTTGCTTAATAATGAAAAAGTAATTATCTACTAAATAGGGATTTTCTATTTTTAAGAAAGCCATAACAAGTCAGTGTGCTTGAATGATCTCAAATGGTTCTATTATTCAAGACTCTACCTAAGTCTTTTTGAATCCGGCCACAGTTGGGATCTAAACTGGGAGGTGAGTTAACTTGGCAATCCTTGGGGGAAATTAGAAAACAGCTACCCTGCAACAACAGAAACTGCCAGGAGGTGGCAGGAGCGCAACACCAAGCATTTCAATCTGGGTTAGAAATACCAGAAATTTAAAAAATCACTTTCTCTTTATTTAGCACCAGAAAATTGTACATATATAAAAACACAAGTATAATAAAAGGGCATGCTTTTACAGAATGAGGACATTTACTGACTTGTGATCATGTAGTTCAAACAACATTAAACTTCCAAAGATCCTAATTTCACTCTAGACTTTCAAACCAGCTGTGCATCTGTGAGCAAGTCAGCCTCACTTATTTCCTAATCAAAGCTTCCTTACCTATAAAATGAAGACAATTGGACTAAATGTCTCTTAAATACCGTCCCAGCTCTTAAGTTCTGTGAATTTCAGTCACTGTAACTCCTGCAATCAATCCAAGATGGTAGGTCTACCTCCAAAATATACCTCAAATCTGCCTACGTGCCATCCCCACTGCCACTGCTAGTTTAAGCCTCCACATCTTTCGTCTGGACAACTACAGTAACCTCCCAATTGCTCTCCCTACTTACAGTCATGTCCTTCTTTCATACAATATCCACAAAGCCACTACAGTGGCGTGATCATAACTCACTGCAGCCTCCAACTCCTGAGTATTTGTCTTGGCCTCCCGAGTAGCTGGGACTACAGGTGTGCATCACTGTATTCAGCTAATTTTTGTATTTTTTGTAGAGATGGTATCTCACAGTTGCCTAAGGTGGTCCTGAACTCCTGGGCTCAAGTTATCCTCACGCCTAAGCCTCCCAAAGTTTGGGATTACAGGTGTGAGCCACCACACCTGGACTTGGAATAACTTTTCTAAAAACTAATCAGATATTGTCGCTCTCCTGCTCAAGATTCTTCACTGACTTTCCTTCTCACTAAGAAAATTCAAACACTTTATTGTGGCCCAACATAAGCTGGCCCCTGCCTACATCTCGTCTCACTTCTCATGCTACCTTTCCCTTTGCTCTTGGTCCTCCAGGCACAGAGACCTTCTTCCTGTCCCATAAACTAATCCAGCTCTCCCCAGCCTCGGGATCTCTTCCCACAGTTCCTCAGATGGCTGACTCCTCATCCAGCAAGTTTTTTTTTTTTTTTTTTTTTTTCTATTTCTTAAGAGTTGATGAGCAAGACTCATCCAGCAAGTTTCAATTGCAATGATGTCACCTCCTCAGAGAAGGCTGCTCATCTGATTGAAGCCCCCCCCCGTTTTTTTTTTTTTTTTTGAGATGGAGTCTTGCTGTCACCCAGGCTGGAGTGCAGTGGCATGATCTTGGCTCACTACAACCTCTGCCTCCCGGGTTCAAGCAATTCTCCTGCATCAGCCTCTCAAGTAGCTGGGGTTACAAGTGCCCACCGCCCAGCTAATCTTTGTATTTTTAGTTAAGACAGGGTTTCATCATGTTGGCCAGGCTGGTCTTGAACTCCTGACCTCAAGTGATCCTTGTGCCTCAGCCTCCTAAAATGCTGGGATTACAGGCATGGGATAGAACTTTCTTTTTCTTTCCCAGCATGCCAACACCGTCTGTAATGATTTCATTAATTTGTCAGTCTACTGTCTACCTCCACTCTCAGCCCAACTGGACTGTGAGCTCCATGGAAAGCCTTTACCTGCCTTGTTCACCACTGGATTCCCAGCGCTGCATCTGGTCCTGTACCACAGCATGACACAAAACCAGTGCTCAATAAATATCTTGAATGAATTAACAGAACGGAGGGATTAGCCCCTAGAGTCAGGCATAAGGGAAAAAAGAGCTGCACTTGGAAGCCTTTTCCATGCAAACAATTTGCATCCGGAGATTTATGAGGCTATTTCTCTTTCTCTTTTTCTCCCCTCACCATAACGGGTATAGAATGGGGATATTTTCCATGGATTTAGGGAACTTCCAGCTGTCTACCTTTTAAGGCATAGTCCACCCATCTGAGTATATGATGAGAATGGGATGCTTGGATATAGGGCAGCTCCACACAGGAGCAGTGTATGTTTTTCCAACTACCTTGGGGTGGGGATGGAATAAAAAAGTGGTTGAATGGGGCAATGACTAAGCAGAGGAGGATGGAGAGATGGGCAGGTATCAGAGAATTCTGCCCAGTGACCTGCATCCTGAACACCTACTCAGTCAACCTTGGGACATTCAGTTCATCCCAGTGTAACCCTTACCCACTTGCTCCTGTCCTGTTGGGCCACTGTGTTTAATCCTGAAATCCCACCTCTTCTTTAGGGGTTAGAGGACATCAGTTCAAGCTTAGCCACTTCCTAGCTCTGTGACTTTTGGGACACATAACCTCACATCTCTGTGCTACAGTTGCCTCATCTTCAAAAAGGGAATAACAGAATCCACCTAACAGGATGTCTATGAGGATTAAAAAATTACAATATGAAAAATGTTTAGACCTGTTGAGTGATACATAAGAAGTAATGAACCACTGATAGCTATTACTGCTGAAGATAGAAGATGTAAGGGCTCCGTTCCCCTTTCATACCCACCTACTTATATTTTCCTTGGCCCCCACCCACAAGTGTATTTTCCCTTCCATTTATCTGATGGATCCTCTCCATGTCTTTTGCTGGCTACTAACCATTGACATTTCCCAAGCTTCTCTTTGTGCTTTTTTTTTTTTTTTTTAAAGACGAGGTTTCACCATGTTGGTCAGGCTGGTCCTGAATGCCCGACCTCAGGTGATCCGCCCACCTTGGCCTCCAAAGTGCTTGGATTACAGGTGTGAGCCACCATGCCCAGCCCCCCCCCCTTTTTTTTTTACCCTCTGTGTGGTCCCCCTAGGAGAATCTCATCTTCTTACTTCTTCCATGAATTCAAGAATAGGCTGAGGACTCTAAACTGTTATTTCTAGCCTCCAAGGCACCCCACCTCCTGTCCCTTTTCTTTGGACTTCCTGTCAGTTACATCACACTCAATATATCCCACAATGAGCATGGGATCTTCTGTCCTAAGACTACACTTCCTCCTGTGTACCTTACCTCGGTTAACATGACAGTAATCTACCTGCCATCTGAAGCAGAAATCTGGACTACCATCCAAAACTCTCTCTCTCTCTCACCTACCAAGTCTAACTGGTCACCAAGTCACTCAGCTCCAGCTCATAATCACTCCATCCCTCCCTCTCCATCATCCCTGCCCTGAACTAGCTCAGGCCCTTATTACCTCCTGGTTAAAATGGTACCACAGCAGCCTAACTGGTCTTCTCTTCCATTCATCCATGTGATCTCCAAGTTACCCTTCTAAAACATTTATATCATTCCCTGCCTTAAAACCCTATAATAACTCTTCATTGCCTGAAAGAGAAAAGTCAATCTTTTTAGTATGGCAAACAAGATCCTTCATGATAAAGCCCTGACTTTTTCTTCAAGCTCGTGGCCCACCATCCCCCCTCCCATGCTCCATGCTCCAGAAGTACTGAGCAACCTCCAGGCCTCTCACACATCACATGCTATTCCACTCCACCACATTTGGAATATGCTGTTCCTCTGGCCTGAAATACCCTCTCCCCTACCTCTGCGCACCCTTCAAGAGCTAACACGTTTAACTCCTCAATGGAGCCTTTCCTCACTCCTCAGTGATCACACTGACCTCAGACCTTCTGCACACTTGGTAAATACTTCAACAACTCTCACATGCACTGAAATTAATGTTCTACACGCTTAAGTTCCTTACAAGACAAGGCCCATGTCGTTCTCATCCACTTAAGTCTAGATTCTAAAACAATGTTTGGCATGCAGTAAGCATCAATAAAGGTTACTGAGTGAAGGAATAAACATGCAGTTTCTAGTCCAGCTTTGTGTCTGTTTCCTGTTCACAGTCAGCTGGTAGAACTGTACAGTATTTTACAGTTTCCAAACATTTTCACCGTGTCATTAAATTTGTGTGTTTGGCCAGGCAAGGTGGCTCACACCTGTAATCCCAGCACTTCAGGAGGTAAAGATGGGTGGATCACCTGAGGTCAGGAGTTCAAGACCAGCCTGGCCAACATGGTGAAACCCCCGTCTCTACTAAAAATACAAAATTAGCTGGGCGTGGTGGCACGTGCGTGTAATCTCAGCTACTCGGGAGCTGAGGCAGGGGAATCACTTAAAACCGGGAGACAGAGGTTTCAGTGAGTCGAGATTGTGCCACTGTACTCCAGCCTGGGCGACAGTGCGAGACTCCATCTCAAAAATAAATAAATGAAATAAATAAATAAATTTTTGTGTTTATGTACTTACTGCAGATCAATTCTGCTGGAGACCCCTGGAGTTACGGCATCAGTAATGGAAGGGGATGGGGCTACTCTGGAAAGGATGATCAGGGAAGGTCTTCAAGCTAAACAGTTAAAAGGATCTAAAGGATAGAAGATGTGGGTAGAGAAAGAGAACAGACTTGAAACAAAGGCAAGAAAGCCAGTGTGGCTGAAGCAGAGTAAGGTAAACTGACTTATGCAACTGAAGCTTCTTAACCCATGAGATAGATAGGACAGATAATCCCCAAATTCAAATGTTAAGTGATTTTCCCAACTGATGAAGGAAGCTAGTAACAAAGCCTACCCTCATCATTACAAGCCAGGCTTTTTCCAAACCATCAGTTGTCTATTATATCTACAGACATAGACAAGCACTGTCCAATACAGCATCCATTTAGCCACACAAACACCTGAAATGTAGATATTCCAAACGGCTAAGTGTTGTAAGCATAAAATACACACTGATTTCAGACCTATTATGAAAAAGGAGTATAAAATATCCACTGAGGCCGGTCGCAGTGGTCACGCCTGTAATCCCAGCACTATGGGAGGCCAAGGGTGACGGGTCACTTGAGGTCAAGAGTTCGACACCATCCTGGCCAACATGGTGAAACCCCGTCTCTAGTAAAAATACAAAAATTAGCCGGGCCTGGTGGCGTGCGCCTGTAATGCCAGCTACTTGGGAGGCTGAGGCAGGAGAATTGCTGGAACCCCAGAAGCTGAGATTGCAGTGAGTCAAGCCAGCGCCACTGAGCTCCAGCATGGGCAACAAAGTGAGCCTCCGTCTCAAAAAAAGACTCATTGATAATTTTCATCTCAACTTTGAATATTTGGGGTAATGATTAAATAAAATATATTATTAAAATTAACATCACCTCATTTCCTTATGTTTCTACAAAGACTTTAAATTACATATGTGGTCTGTATTGTTTCTATTGGACAGCAGTGGCACACACCCTCTCAGTATGTTTTTCTTTATTAGGTGCTCCTCAAAGGCCAATTCCTTGAAAATTCTACACAATGAGAATTCAGAGCTGGTTTAACCCAACTCTGAAATTCGCGTGTTACTTAAAACTTCTTTGAGCTTCAGGGGCTTTCATGCTTCCTTCCAACAGGAATGACGGCCACTTCGTAGCTCTTTTAGGAGAACTTAAGTAAACTTTATCGGGCAATACCGTAATGGTCACCGCTACGGCCAGCTCACCCGGTAGCTCTCGACGGCTTCGTCGATGGGTGCCATGGCGTGGGTCTGGTGCTCCTGGGACTCCCTGCACACCAAGCACACGGGCCGCTGGTCGTCCTCGCAGAAAAGCCGCAGCGGTTCCCAGTGGCGGCCGCAATGGCCGGGGGGCACCGGGCCCTGGCGCCGGCGCTGCGTCTTCTCCGTCAGCCTGGCCAGGGCCCAGTTGGGTCGCAGAGCGGCGGGCGCCGATGGGTGCCGGCATTCGGGGCAGGGGAACGGGCCGCCGCCCGGCACCCAGCTGCGGTGTAAGCAACTGCGGCAGAAATTGTGGCCGCACTCGATGGACACTGGGTCCCGGAAGTAGTCCAGGCAGATGGGGCAGGTCAACTCCTCCTGGAGGTCCTTAACTTCCATCCTGCTTCCCTGCCCCGGAGCCGGGGTCCGACGTAAGGAGCGGGAGAAGCCGGCAAGTTGCGAGATACCGCTGGGAAGCCAGACGACTTCCGAACCGCGGCAGGCGCCTCACGTAGGAGACGCCGCAGCGTCTCTTCCGGGTTCAAGACCCAATAGGAACCCGCGGGCATTGCCAAGCCTGAGCGCGCAAGACCGGAAGCTGCTGGGTTTCCGGGAGGGAAGCGCGCGGGGGTTGGCCCAAGCCTGGGCGCGGGGCAGGACGGGACGGTGGGTGGCTCCTCCAAACGACTATAGAGACAGAAATCCCTGTGGAAGTCTAGAGGGGACTTGGATAAGGTATTAGAGCTAGACAACCTACAGCCCCTGGTGGAATCAATGGAAGAGGTGCTTCTCATCTTGTCCATTCTTTCCAAGTTTCAGGGTTCTGGTCTGTGTTCGCCTGCTAGTCCGATTTAAGTTCTACAGTCTCAGGAGTTCTGCGCGAGCTGCAGCCTAGGGGCCTGGAAAGCCAGGAAGAATTGAAGGATCTGTGTTGCTAGGCCTGGAGTTTGGCTAACGTGGTGCTGTGTGCTTTAGGTTGGCTCTCCCTGAAGTCTTCCCTTTTGATTCAACCGCATTCTCCAGGGAGAGGAACCCATTCTTGCCCTGGATCCCAAGGTCTAGTTGAGTTCCTAGAAAGGCAGGACTTCCTACGAAGGCCCACTGACTTCCCATGGTGTTTGAGGAGTCAAGGGTAACTTGAGAGCCAACCTTTGGGGAGGTGAGAGCTTGATTTCCCTGTCTTCCCAAGCATGGAAAACAGATGCTTGGTAGAGGAAGCCTGTTCTCAGAGCTTGAGACATACGGTGCAGTAGAGGTTCTAATAGTTAAGTTAGGAAAAGAGAATTTGGGGTTAGATGGTCTTCCCCAGGTATGAGACTTCCCATAAGTATTTTAGGTGGTTCAACTCTCAGGAGGTCTGGGAGCTTCAGGAAGCCCTAAGACAACTTTGGGTGATTTGCTGTGGGTGGCTGTCATCTAAGACAGTAGGAAGTAGCAGATCCTGTGGCTGCTCTTGCTAGAAGTTCCTGACAATTCTGCCTGAGGAGATAAAGACCTTGGTGTGAAAGCAACACTTGGAGAGTGGAGCTAGCTGAAGCTGTAGCTCTTGTGGAAACTGTGAAAGACCTGAAAGGACCAAGAGAGTGGGTGACGAAGAAGTCAAGTTGTTTAAATGGGGATGATTTGGATTCAGAGATGCAACCATTTTGCCATCCCAAGAAACTTCCATGGAGGCTTTCAACAAATAATATGCTTGCCCGCTTCAGGGAATTATCTATATCCCTTAAGTGGATTTTTGATCTTGTGTTTCTGAGGTACTTTGCTTTTTATTCTTACCACTTTCTCCCTTTTCTTGTGAATGAGAATTGTTAAAAGAAAAGCTCTGGACCAACAAATTTAACAGAAGTTATTTGCACCAAGAACAATTCGTGAATTAGGCAGCACTCAGAACCAAAAGAGGTTCAGAGAGCTCTGCCCAACAATTTGAACTTTTGTTGGAAGCAAAGTAGAGAAATCACCTGATTGGCTAACAGCTAGGTGTCTGCCTTATTTGGCCATGATATGATGAGACATTTGCCTTATTGGGGCTTGGTCTGATCAGCTGTCTGTCTGTTATTGCCTGAAGGTAGGCTGTGATTGGCTGAAACACAGCTATTTGCTATTAAAAAAAAAGTTAGGCTTCAGTTTGTTTACATACTAAGTTTGGTTGTATTTTGTTATATAGGAACTCAAGTATCAAGACAGCCTCAGGATTTTTGCTTATTTAACAAAATTTTCATTGCTTTTATGTCCCAATATCAAACACTGCCTTTCCCATAATTTTTCTCAGTAAGTAGTATGATTAAATGATTAGAAAAAGGAGTTCTTGAGATACCTGTTTTGGGGTTATTGATAAAAGTTCCTCTGAATATCTATTTTTAAAACATTTAAGTTAGACAACTAATGAATACATTTTCTTTGCAAATTGGAATACTCCATGGAGAAGTAATCTGAGTCTTTAATATGGACCAAGCCGGAAGGAATGCTCTTAACCATGAATATTTATGACGTGTGTGTCTATATGTCTACCTAAGTATTAGATGAGATGTTTCAGCATTCCTGCAAAGTATTTATTTCCTTTACAGTAATCAATTAAATCTTTTCAGGTAAATCCCTTAAAATCCTTATGTCTTCATTCCTGCCATACCAGAGATGACCCTCCTTCTTTACTGAGGCTCCCTAATTCACAATTTTCTCCATCAAAAAATGTCTGTAAGTCTGTGAACCAGCCAATGTTCAATCAGAGAAGTGGAATCACTATGAATCTTTATGTCTGCAGGGCAAGCAGTTGAGGAGGGAAGATCAACAGAAAGTAGGGAAGAATAAGAATGAATTGGAACCTAAGACACGAGCTAATCATTCTTCCCTGTCTCCAACTTTAAAGATATGGGTACTCTTGCTAGAGGAGTTGACACTCTTCACCACAGGACTAGACACACATATGGTTCAGGAATCAAAAAAGCTGAAGGATGACCCAACATGTGCAACCCAGGGGAAGGCTTCTTCCCCATCCCAACAAGGTGAACCAGCTGATTGGTGACAAAGTGCATGAGCTGAAGTAGCACCTAGTGTCCCTGCACCACCCTTTCCCTTTCAAGTATAAAACTGGAGAGCTGCTTCAGTTCTCCCCTTCAAGACTTACACACCAATGTCTTTTTTTGGCATACAGAGGTATGGAGTTGACATCCATACAGACCTCTAAACATACCTTCAAAATAAAGCCCACATCCTACACATAAGTTATCTCTAGAGAAATTTGAAGTCTGTTGTGCACTGAGGATAACCACAATAATAAACTAAACCTAGCCCAGTTTCTGACTAGATTGATACAACTGAACCACCACTATGCACTCAAGGGCACTAAAGGCCTAGCAGAAGGAAAGACACACTCATCTCCAAGCATAAAAAATACTTCATACTATGAAGAAGGAATTGAAAAAATAATTTAAGCAAAAAAAAAAAAAAACCCCACAACATGTCCAACTTTTATTTATTTTTTTTTTTTTGAGTCGGAATTTCGCTCTTGTTACCCAGGCTGGAGTGCAATGGCACGATCTCGGCTCACCGCAACCTCCGCCTCCTGGGTTCAGGCAATTCTCCTGCCTCAGCCTCCTGAGTAGCTGGGATTACAGGCACGCGCCACCATGCCCAGCTAATTTTTTGTATTTTTAGTAGAGACGGGGTTTCACCACGTTGACCAGGATGGTCTCGATCTCTTGACCTCGTGATCCACCCGCCTCGGCCCCCCAAAGTGCTGGGATTACAGGCGTGAGCCACCGTGCCCGGCCAACATGTCCAACTTTTAACAGAAAGGAAAAAAAAAAGATGCATACATAAAGACAAGAAAAAACAGTCCAAAGAGAGAAAACAATCAGTAGAACCTGACTCATAAGACATAGACATTAGAACTATCAGAGAATTTTAAATAACTGTGATTAATGTGATAAACGCCCTAAGGGGAAAGATAAACAAAATGCAAGCTCAGATGGGTGATTTTAGCAAATAGATGGAAACTATAAGGAAAAATAAAATGGAAACTATAAAAATAAAACAATATAATAATAGAGATGAAGAATGCCTTCTGTAGGCCCATTGGTAGACTCAACACAATTGAGGGAAAAAAAATCAAACTTGAAGGTAGGTAAATAGAAATTACTGAACCACAAAGAAAAAAAGAGTGACAGAAACAAAACAGAGCACCCAAGACTGGCGGGAAAATATCAATATCAAATCAAGAAATAATGGCTGAGAATTTCCAAAATTTGTGAGGCACCAAACTAATCCAAGGAGTTCAGAGAACACCGATCAGGATAAATTTTTTAAAAAGAAACTAAGCTTATTGTATTGATTCCTGATACACCGCCTAACATCTCCAGATGATCTATTATTTCTGGAAGTTTCCTTTATTATATTGCTTACTTCAGAGAGATATACCCTTGGCTTCATGTTATGGTCAATGGTACAGTCAGTATTCTCAGAGAGAAAGGACTGGTTTCATTTTACCTCTATCCTTTGTCTCTGTCAGAAAACCTACCATACCACCAAGTACTCCTTCTCTACACTGCCCACGGAAACTATGGGTCCAGTTCTCATGTCCCAGACTGGCCTTTTGTTACCCACACAATGAATACGTTAAATTGCTTGGCAGGTGGCAGTCCAATGGCCACAACCAAGGAGGATTTCTCAAGGGGATTTTATTATTTGTAATAAGTAAGGAGAATACTGAGAATAATACCCCAAAGCAGTGCCTCCCTGAGCAATGGTGGAAACATGGCTTTTATTAGGCTGGTTACATTGTATGTAGAGGCGGAGTCAAGGCAGCACAGTCCCAGTTGTCAATCATGCTTCTACATATGTTACATGTATAGAAAATGGTGAATAAGCTTCTCCTTGGGCTGGATTTTTAGTATGGTGATGAGGAAAGTTGGCCAAAGTTCATCTCCAATTCAGGCATCTTTGGGTCCAACTGGTTTTTGTTTTTCCTGGGCTGAGCTTCTTCCTGGAACTTTTCAAAACAAAAATTCAAGGTATAACAGTTACAAGTGGGTAACTTTTTCACAGTGCATACCCAAAACCCCAGGGACCCTGGGTTACCCTTGAGGTTGTACCCATGTGGGACCTGTCAGAAGAGTACTACAAAGGCTTTGAAAACAACCCTCAGAAGGCTGGTCAAAACTTAAAACTTGAACCTAAGTAGGTTAATTACGTGTTAAAACATAAATATCAACATCCTCCACCAAATTTAACCAAGACCCAGAGCTTCCTAGTAACATTCAAAATGTCCAGGATACAATCCAAAATTAATTGGCATGTGAAGAACCAGGAAAATCACAACTCACATTGGAGAAAAAGTAACAGATGCAGTATATAAGTTGCCACACATGTTGGAATTATCAAGACTGTAAAGCAGCTATTCAAATGGAAACTTAAAAAGTCTCAGAGAAGCAATAGCAAATATAAAGAATAGCCCCATGGAAATTTTAGAATGGGAAAATACAAAAAACGTCATCACATCATATCCAGGGTAACATGCTGTCAACATTGCTTATCACTGTTGATGTTAATCTTGATCACCTGGCTGAGGTGGTATTTGATGGGTTTTTCCACTGTAAAGT